GTTAAATTAAAAAAGTATCCGCCTACTGTGGAGCGAATGAATCCTGCATGAATGCTGCAGGGTCAGACGGTTTCCACGAAGTGAAACCGGCTGATGAATCAGGCTAGTTATCAATACCAATCCATAGGTATCGCTGTTCATTAATAATAAATAACTTATTCCGAGCCCCGCACACTCTTATTTCTGACTAATACTAACACATACTTGGTTGTAATTTGTTCATTAATTTCAGTGGCAGACAAGAGAAAATTCTCACTGCTAAAGGATGCTGATTTCAATAAAATGTTCAATTTTAGATGCACCAACACATCAGCATTACACTCTTTCTCTGAAAGAAAACAGTTTTCTAGTCTGTATTTAAAATATTTGTTTTTGAGTTTGCCAGCTCATGGAAACTTTCAAAATGTCAAAAGACAAACACTTTTCCAATGAGAAACTGAAATGACTTCAACTGAATCCTAAAAATGCACAAGCTCTTCTTCACCGGCATCATAATAAGGCATTAGTCTTATATAACGCTTTTCCAAACGCTTAAACTCGCTTTACAGTTTCATGCATTACTCATTCACTCCATACTTGATGGTGGTAAACTATGCTAGCCACAGCTGCCCCTGGGACAGGCTGACAGAAGTGAGTCTGCTAAACTGCACCATTGGCCCCTCCGACCATCACCAATCCAATCCACTTTATTTATAGCACATTTTATAAACATGACACTTTCCAAAGTGCTGCACAGACAAATTAATACAATAGAAGACAGTAAATCATAAATAAAAACAATACTAAGTGTTAAAATGCCTAAAGCTACAAATGATATAAAAATGAATCAAATAAAACAAATAAACAAATAAATAAAAGACACAGAGGACCACACAACAAAGGGTAAAAGTGGGTTTTAAGACCAGACTTAAAACACTCCACTTTGGGGGCTGTTTTTTTTTTTTTTTTTTTTCATTTATAATTTCTGACCAGTCTTTGATTGATGGTGCTGTTAATGGCCTGCTGCTAGAAGTACGCTCCAGAGATATCCACTGATTGTGTCCAGGGGTTTTGTAGTCTTATTCAGCAGACATTTTCACTTCGTAGAAACCGTTTGACCTCACAGCATTAGGATTTGTTCGCTCGACAGTAGGCGGTACTTTTTTATTTAAACAATCGCTGCTATTTGGTCGTGACATATGTAATGCTCTGCTAATGGGGCTAACTGGTATAATTAAGCTTTTCCCAAATCCTATAGGAAGAAGGGCAAAAACGTCTTTTACCTTGATAAAATTCACCAAACCTTCTCTTTGTTCCGGCTTTCAATCCTCAACCTCAGGAATCGTTGCCAACACAGAATGTATGTCTCTTCGCTGATTGGATAGTGTCCAAACTCACACTTCCGGGGTTCTTGCAAACTGTCTAATGTATTCTGATTCCTGACCTAGTCACTGGAGAGAATGAAATTGAGCGGAGGCACTAGGTGGTGCCAGTCTGGATAGGCGTTTTGAGGCCCAGATACCTAATTGTGAAGTTGAGGGGGATGGTCACATTAAAGATAGTTTGCAGTACTTTGTTAATTTCTGTACCAAAATGTATGGATCACATGACAATCCCAAAACACATGGTAATGGTGGGCCTCTTGGCAGCCACAGTTTCTCCAATACTATTCCAATATTTCCCTGCGAATAATGGGCACTTTGGTATACTGTTATAAAAACAAATGATATATTTTTCCACCCAAATTCTTTCCAGATATGTGATTTTGTGGTCCTCCATTGAGATGTAAATATATTTTCCCATTCTTCATTTGTCAGAACAAAATTAATCCCCCCGGTTTTAAGTCTCGTCTTAGGCACCGTGAGTTGGAGCTGGCCCTTGGACCTCGGAGCTCGTGCGGGGGTGTAAATTTGGATGACCAACCCTCACTCACACACGACATTCAGACACAGTGACGTTTTTGCCACTAGCGCCCCACTGTGGCACCTTGTATTCTTGACCATTGGTGTTAAATGTGGTTTTGCACTTCACTATAATCTCTTCATGTAAATTAATTTTATTTTGTACATAATTTCCATAAGCCTGTCCCTACCCATGTACAGATAAGTGGTTGAAAATTCCCTGCATTGTATAATACTGTTACTGATGATTGGTCAAGAAGGTCAGCCAAGAAATTTATGCCAAATTTGTTCACCGTGGCAATCCAAAAAATCAACAAACTCTTAAATCTGCCGGCGTTCAGGTTGATTTCATTTTCTGAGTTCAGTTGCATGCCATTTTCTGGAAACCTCTAACTGTTTAACACATCCAAAGTTTAACAAATGACAAATCCACTTACCCCTGATCTTCTTCAGACATCATGTGGTGAACACATTTGACACGTGTATTTCATCCTCGCTCCAAATAAAACCTTTCCAACTCTGACTTTTGTTTATTTGCGTCTACTTCGAAAAAACTCCCCCGGCTCATCCAACAGAAGCATCTTTTTCCCCGAACGCCGTGCGCCTCCGTGGTACCGACTGTCAACAGTTTTGACTGGGAACATCTCCTCTGGTCCAATACAAACTTACAGGCCATGCACGAAGAACTATCCTGAAAAGATGGAACATTTTTTACAAAATTTCTGACCTCCCGCCGAAGCCCTGACACAAACTCACGCTGCGTTCACGGACCACAGACTATTTAGAGATACCAGAGATGTCAGGGCCTCCTCATGTCTGTGCACGAAATGATGATGGATAGACGAGTGGTGGAGCTGCAAAAACACAGGTTGGAATATTTCACCCGGAGTCAACTTTGAAAAATGAAGAGAATAACAGGTTAGAGAGAGAAAAGTAGAAATTATTATCGCTAAGTGTAGCAAGAGAAGGATGGCGTGACCACACAATGAAGGGAGATTTCTTTAAAGGAGTGTTCTGGCACTTTTTTCACCGGATAATAGTTTGAGTCCATCTGTTGGTTGTTAACATTGTTCCTACAAACTCCTCTTGATTTCACATATTCCTCAAAGCTGTCAAATCAGCTGTTAGCCAGGTTTGTGGTTATGAGTAGCAGTAAAAAAAGTGACCATTCCGACATTTTTGTAACAAAAGTGCAAAATATCCATGGAGATGCATTAGTCAAAACAACATTAAAGAAGATCTATTATGAAAAATCAACTTTTCTGAGCTTTTGCCCATGTTATAGTTGTTTCCCCTTCTCATTTACCCTCTCAAAGTTGTATTTGGAGTGATTTGTGCATGTTTAAATAATCTTTAAACAATTATTTTCAACACGCCATATTGCAGATCAACCTCCGTTCACCGCCACTAGAAAACGCCCACTGCTCTGTTCTTAGTTTGTTCTTCAATTTTATTTTCTTAATTGGTCATACACATTTGGCAGCATTGTGAAGTGATTTTGGTACGAATGAAAAAAAAAAGAAAGAAAAAAAAAATCTGTGGTTTTCAAGTGTGATCTACAGCTATCCATTGGAGGTGCTGACAACTTTATGACTCTTTGCTGTGATGACGTTTACAGCGACGTCAGCTCCCACTGGACACCACAGTTTTATAACAAGGAAATCAGAGGACTTGTTTCTTTTATTAAGTCATTTTAAATCATTATTGTGATTTAAAATGTGTAAATTATAACAAAATGATCCACGGGTGTTATAGATTATAACTATATAGCAGAATATGCCTTCTTTAAGTTATATTTTTATTGATGCATGTTTAAAAGTAGCCAAGGTGGCGCCACCTAGTGTCTCCACTCAATTTCATTTCTTTCCAGTGATTAGGTCAGGAATCAAAATACACTAGAACCCCAGAAGTTGAAGACCGTACAATCAGTGAAGAGCTGTGAAGCCATGATGTCAAACTCAAGTGCCTGTCTGGGTCCCTTTTTTGGTACAGCACAACAGTAAACAAAGCAGTCGAGATGGATGTAGATGAAGCCATACATGATGTGTTGGCAACGATTCCTGAGATCGAGGATTTAAAGCCGGAACAAAGAGAATGTTTGGTGAATTTTATCAAGAGTAAAGACGTTATTGCACTTCTTCCTACAGTATTTGGAGCATTACATACGTCACAACCAAATAGCAGCGATTGGTTAAATAAAAATAAAAAAACGCCTACTGTCGAGCGAACAAATTCTAATGCAGTGAGGTCAGATGGTTTCAACGAAGTGAAACCGGCTGATGAATCAGGCTAGTTTAAAGGTGCATTGTGTAACTTTTGGTGGAGGGTCCGTCAAACGCTTTACTCCACGGAGATGTTATTACTTTTTCTGGAATGTTTCACAGTATGGCATTAAACCTTTCTATCTTCATGGAGAACAAACCAGACCAAGTTACAGGTCAGATCTGTGGAGAGGCAACCCTGCTCACAATCAGAATACTTGTTTTTCCAGGTATTTTTGAGCTGTAAAACCACCTGTAATTTAATAAATGTATGGTAGACCTGTTAAATGTCTGTTTAATACTGTGACAAATCCAGTTCAGAGCAATGACATATCCATAGAAACAAACAAGTGATGGACCCACAACCAAAAATTGCCATAGAGCACCTTTAAGTAATCCTGTATTGTCCTGCATTTGAGGCCTAAATCCTCTGAAATCCTTTGTTTTCACCTACTCCTATCTCCGCCCACTTGAAAGAAAAGAACAAACACTCTTTAAGGCCTTCATTTAACATCTGTAAACATCCATTTTACATATACACCTGAAAATCTTTATGCCCAATTTACCAGGACAAAGCTACAGTGAGACTAAACACTCTTCAGCTTAATATGTCTATACTGTAAACCTCCTCCGCGATAAGTGCAGCTAGTTTGCCCTACATGTAGCCGCTGGCTCTCATTCATCACTGCCCTTTTGCACCTTGCTCTAAAAGCTCCCTTGGGCTTTTAGTTTAGGAAGTCCTCCCTCCTCCCTCTCCTTCTCCTCCCCTCCCTCTCTCTCCTTTCTCTCCTCCCTTCTTTTCAGCTATAAGAAGCAGACCCGCATGCTTTACCCGGGACAGTCCTCCTCTAGACTTGCACAAGAAAAGATACACAGTCATAGTATTTTGTTAGATCATTGAACTGAACTTTTTGAGCTGCCTGCCCAAGCATGGACTTGTGAATCTGGGGCTGAAAACATCTCATTAGTTGGTGAATTTTTTGGGGATTATCTGAGTTTTTAGGGACTTTTGAACGCATTTTTGGTCATGGTACTTGCGTGTTGACAGAAGAAGTCCCTGTGTTGGATTTGCGTGGGATCAAAGTTGTTTTTATTCGGCGCAGAGTGTGAATGAAGAGAAGGGGAGGGGGAAGCATGTCCGCCGGAGACTGCAGTCACCTGTTGAGGGCCGCCTGGCTGCTCTGCCTCTGCCAAGGTGGGTGCAAATCGAAAATGAAAATCTGAATGTATTGAAATTATAAGTAGGTTTGAAATGAATTAATTTGTGTTATTTTTCCTTATGCTATCCTGGGACAAATGTATAGACTGCATTAACAAAAGTTGATTAAATAAGTAGTAGTAGTAGCAGAAGTAGTAGTAGTAGTAGTAATCTATAGTGGTGTATAATGGCTGTATTAAAATATTAATGGAACTATCCTGTAATTATCCCTCTTTTTAATAAAGTTATCTTCAGGTGTGTCCTGATAGTAGTAATTACAGTAGTGGTAGTAATCATAGACATTCAGTTATATGTATATGGTAGTAGTAGTGGTAGTGTAGTAGTAGTAATAATAGTAGCAGTAGTAGTAGTTTAAACAGCCATTTTACATATACATATAGTCATAGCAATAGTTGAAGTAGTAATAGTAGTAGTAGAAGTAATAGTAGAAGTAGTAGTATTTGTAAAATAGTAATGCAAATATTGTGTTTAGAAATTGTGCCACTTCTAATTGAGTTCATTTACTTATTTTCAAATGTGTAGTGATAGTATTAGTAGCCGTATTTATGGGAGTTGTGGTGGTAGTAGTCATAGACATTCAATTGTAGTAGTAGTAGTAGTAGTAGTAGTAGTAGTAGTAGTAGTAGTAGTAGTATAGCAGCATTAAAATAGTAATGTAGTTTTGTGTCTAGGAGTTGTCTTCAAGTAATTATGGTTGTAGTGATAGTAGTCATAGACATTCAATTATATGTCCATGGTAGTAGTAGTAGCAGTAGCAGTAACTCTAGTAAAGCAGTATTCAAATAGTAATGCAATTACTGTGCTTAGAAATGGTCCCACTTCTAATTGAGTTAATTTACTTATTTTCAAATGTCAAGTGATAGTAGTTGGCTTATTTACTGTATGGTGGTTGTGGTCATTATGGTGGTAGTAGTCATAGGCATTCAGCTGTAGCAGTAGTAATAGTAGTAGTAGTAGTATTAGTACGAGTAGAAGTAAAGCAGTATTAAAATAGTAATGCAACTATTGTGTTTAGAAGTTGTCTTCAAATGTGTTCTGATAGTAGTAATTATGGTTGTAGTGATAGTAGTCATAGACATTCGATTATACAGTATGTCCATGGTAGTAGTAGTAGTAGTAGTAGTAGTAGTAGTAGTAGTAGTAGTAGTAGTAGTAGTAGTAGTAGTAGTAAGCCGTGTCCCTGTTGTTGTTTACTGTAGGCTAGTAGTTTTCTTAGGTGCTTTTGTGCTTTTAAATACAAAGTGCTTGTAGTAGTAGTAGTAACAGCAATAATAATAGTAGTTGTTGTATAGTAGTAGCAGTGGGCTATGTAGATGAGCTGTGAAATTTAGTTGAAAGATTTCTAAAATGAATAATGCAGAAACATCTGCGTAATTTATACTATGAGGTTAATTTTGTGCACTGTTGGCAAGAAGCACAGATGAGTCAAACTGTAATAAAAAATAGTTTTACTTTTCAGTTCTGTGTCAAAAATATGATGGAGTAGAAAGTACAGATGCCTGCTCTCAAACGTAGTGAAGAAAAAGTAAAACGTATCCACTAAAGTGTACTAAAGTAAAGTACAGGTATCTAAAATTTATACTTAAAGGTGCAATATGTAACTTTTTGGGGGATCTGTCCCTGCTTGTTTCTATGGATATATCATTGCTCTGCCTGGAATGTTCCATAATATGACTTTAAGCAGCTCTACTTTACATTTACTGAATTCCAAGTGGTTTTATGACTCAGAAATACCTTGAAAAACAGGCATTCTGACTGGGAGCGGGGTTGGCTCTCCTCTCCACAGATCTGACCTGTAACTTTGTCCAGTTTGGTCTCTGTGAAAATAGAAAGGTTTAATACCATACTGTGAAAAATTCCAGATAAAGTAATAACATTTTCAAGGAGAAACACTTTTGACGAACTCTCCACCAGAAAAGTTACAGTACTTTACTATTTTTACTTTGTTACGTTCCACCAGTAGTACAGACAAGTCAATAATAGATACAAAGACAATAATAATAATAATTTAATAGCAGTTAACTTTCCACATTTGATCACCACCATATTTCAACTACAAAAACACCATTGCTTCTTGACTTGCCCAGTACCACATGCTCTCAAGGCTCACACAATAACAAAGATTAGCGCCAACAAACCTACAAATTGTCTGGAAGCCATTATGTCATTTGTCACTATTGGAGCAGTAAAAACATTTAGCTGACGTTGGTTTTCGTGAATAGCCCAGATTGTCCCTTCTTCTTCAAAGACATCACAGATCAGTGGAGGAGCCGAGAGGACAATGGTTGAAAGGGTGCAAGAAAGCATGGCCCTGGAACTAATGTTGTGATTACGGTAAATGGTTGTAAAAACAGGACACAGACATGACTTAGGCTTGGTACACAGAGCAAAGACGTGATTATAGAGGCGATGTGTCCCTCTGAGCAGGAAATAAGACCGGTTTGGACAGTCACAGCTGGTTAAGGTGATGGGCATAAGAGAGAACATCTGTCTATGGTTAAATATTATTGTGTGACATAAAAGGAAATTGTGCATCAGAGTTTGGGGCATATGAAGATTTGTTTCGAGATCATTTTTAATATTGTTATTTTTCGTAATACTTAATTAGCCTTAAAGGTGCACTGTGTAACTTTTTGGTTGGTGTCCGTAACCTTCTTGTTTCTACGGATGTGTCGTTGCTCTGCTTAGAATGTTCCACAATATGAATTTAAACAGCTCTACCTTACATTTTTTCATTTACAAGTGGTTTTATAGCTCAAAAATGCCTAGAAAAACAGGCATTCTGATTGTGAGCGGGGTCGCCTCTCCACAGATCTGACCTGTAACTTGGTCTGGTTTGGTCTCCATGAAGATAGAAAGGTTTAGTTGCCATACTGTAACTACTTATATTTTTCTTTATGTAGTTGAGGAAAATAAGGCCACTGTGTACTGTCTGCATCTAATTATTAAGTGTTTTTTTTTTTTTTAATGACTCAGCAGGAAGTGCAATAGCATGCTAGTTGTTTTTTAGCATAATTGTGACAGCAAAACTTTTATCTAGCTTCTGAAGTTTGGACCACTGTGGAGTTCTGTTTTTCACGTTTTCAAGATCGTAAAACAATCTTTATGAATTAGGTCTTTGTTCATGCTTTAGTAAGACTAATTAAAGTTTAGTTATTATGAAGTGAGACCTTTTTATTTGTGTGCATTAGCCTTTATCTCTGGGAGGAATATAATATAGTATTTTCAATGTATTCTTTTTTTATTATGTTTCTCTTAAATTTTATGATTATTGTATCAAATTAGACAAATCTAAATAATATATGAAGGGGCAAAATCAGGTTTTAAATCAGGATTATCTCCAAGATAAAATTTCAGACAAATTTCAGATTAAACTAAAAATGGTACGAGAAGTCTATACAACTGCACCACAGCTTAAGAATCACTCTGTAAATATAAATGAACTAATCATTTTATCACAAAATACTTACAAGTATGTATAGGTTCTGAATTTTGACTCTGACTGCTCTTGGCTGTTTAACCCCGGTTCACAGGTCACTTGCTTTTCTTAAGTGGCCATTCAACCTAAAACAAAAACATCTTGAATCTGTTGAAATGAAAGGACAAAACAAAAGGTTCAGTTGTGGAAGGCCTCAGCTGGTGTCCCACTGGAGCTGAGTTGTGGTTAAATTGTGGTTCAGTGTGAGAGAGAGGAGGAATTTTAAGTGAAGAAGGTCTATTAAATTTTTGCTCTTAAAAAGCAGTTGTATGGCATCAGAACGTGTCATTTTCCTGAATATAACATTTTTTTGTTTATTGGATCATCTCTCTTTTCACTGTTGAATTATAGCCTTACGGACACATTTATACACGACAAAAACACAAAAATACTCAAGTTCGACCTGATTCTTAGCACCTGATACTTACATTTTTTAAACTGTTTCCAGTGACCCAAAGTTTTTCCTTTCCCAACATTCCTATCATAATTATTTTGGCCTACACCAATGATTGAATGAAGTAAAACTTTTGAAGATTAGAGTAATGCAGTCACCGTAATGCTAACAGCAACTAGCATGCAAACAGTACACTTCCTGATTCACAAACAATAAAAGGCTTTATAATTAGGCCCCGTCCACACTATGTACTATGTATTCAAGTTGTTTTCGCTCCGGATGCATTGTTTGTCCACAATAATCCGATGGAAAGTGGCTCAAGAATTCATCTGAGTACTGATCTGATCTGGCACTGTGTGGATGCCTGAAAATGTTGATATGCTCATGTAAAAGCGCTAGTTGCAAACTTATTGAACTACGTCACTTGCGCCTTCCTGATTCGCTGGGTTCGTGACATCGGTTTGTGACGCTATTGTGGAAAACAGTTTAAACAAACCAGAGACAAATGGGAAACAGCAGAGCTAGAACTACTTGCTACTTTCACACTTGCCATCTTCCTTGGCTCGAAATCGGCTGCTCGTGATGACGTGACGCCAGCCTGGTCACATCAGGCGGTTTCACATTATGGAAGGTTTTGATTGCAGACACAGGAACGACGTGTCTGGATTCAAATCATTTCGGATACGGTGATTCATTTCAGTGTAAACGTAACCTTTGATACAGACCTACTGTCTATACATCGGTCTTATTTTGATCCTTACTCATTACAATATAATATAATAAGAAAGAATAAAACATATAAATGTTAATAATAAATTCTAAATAAGTAGCAAAAAAGCGAGACAGAGACCAAGAGACATGTGTCAAATAAGGCAAAATTATATAAATGTATATGTATGTATTAGTATAAATTTATATAATTATGCTTAAGAGCTGCTTTTACAAAACTTCTGTTGCTTCTGAGTGAGAAACTGAATATCTGTTGGCAAATGTTTACTTCTTGTAGATCAGATTGTGTCAAAATAAAGCAGATTAAAGTCTAATAAAGCTTCAGACAGAGCAGAGCCTACAGTTAGCATCACAACCACGGAAAATGTTGATGAC